AATTGCAAGTGCAGATAGTAGGTAGAAGAAACGGAACGAATCGAACGACTGCCCACAATGGACGATAGAGGTTCGGAGAAAGGATCTCTTTCTCCCTGGTGCAGAGATTCCGTTTGACTCGATAACGCGCACACTACCGATAAGATCGTCATAAGATCGTCCCCATGCGTTCGCCTTCCTCTCCTTTCGTTTTATTCGCGGCCGATAAATAATTCATGCTCCTTTTCGAGGGAACAACGTATACCTCGTAACCTTGTCGCGCTCCTTGATCCCGGCTCGAGTGAGACAACGCGGCTCTCTGCAGTCTCGACGATCATTCGAGGGCGCGAAATTCGTGGCGAAGGCTCGCCGAGGGTCAACGGAGGAGAAAGACTCCGCGGACAGAGGCCTTGTGCGGACGAAAAATGGACGAAAAATTTCACGCCTGTTCGATCGAAAGTTGCAAGTCCAATTGGTCGATCGGTTCCGAGAGAAGCTGACGAGGAGAGGACAGAGAGATAAGTGGGCGAAAAAGACACGCGGCTTGAAATCTACGAAACGCTCGCGCGAAGATTTGGTGTGTGCGTGGCTCCGCCTCCTACTCCTATCCAACCCATTCTAAACAAATGAATCATGTTCCAAAATGGCCGACTGAATTTAGACGTCACGTGGCATCGACGTACATGTATACACACATGCTCGCGCGTATCCCCGACCGCCGGAGCAGTTCAGGCTCTGCGGCTGCGAAGAGGAACTCACGCATAAAATACCACGCCGCCTGTATCTTGCTCCAGAACCAACGAGTCGAGCCTTTGCTTCGCACTCTGGGATCCACCGCGCTATTTTTCAATCTCCATCGATCTATGCACGCGATAACCTAAGAAAAAGCACCGTGAATCGAATAAGTCGGTAAGAACGCGTGAGAAAAAGGGATCTCGCCGGATGGAAGATAGATCGTCCCGAGACGCGACGCAACACGACACTAGGACGGTAGGCGTAGATTTTTCGGTACGTGGCGCAGGCATTGGCTCGCGAAGAGAAAGGCTGCGGAGCGGGCTGACTACCCACATAACGGCTCGGTGTATAGAGCTTAGAAGGCCGGCGGAAAATTTAATGTCAAGTATACATGGAATTGGTTTTGCCGGCATTAAACGACAATGTCGGTACGGTTAAACGACGATGCCCCTACTTGCGCGATTACGCGCGTGCAGAACTGCTCCGGCTCTCTGTCCGACGACGAGTCTCTTCGCCTTGGAAGATACACTAATTTCGCGCCTCGAATTGCATAACTGAATTCACGTTGGGTGTCTTGGTCGTCGAGAGTGAGAGAGAAGAAGGCGTCGACACGGGGCGTCCTATCTAATCAGCCACTTTCGTCTGCCATTTTGAAACCCGAGGCACGCCGTGCCCCATGGATTATCTAACGAATTTCTAAACCGTCCCCGTCCGCCTCAAGGTCCGCCGTGATCGCTTCTTTTACCGTCGCGATCTCCCCTTCTCCTTTCCTCGATCCTCCCCCTCGCGCCGCTCCACGCCGCTCCACGCCGCTCCTAGCCGCAGCCGTAATTCCGGAGTGGTGTGTTGCGTCAAGTTTGAAATCCGTGCGCGAAAAAGATAGACATGCCCCTTGATAAGATAGCCCAATAAATAGACAGATAGGATGCGACCGCGACTGTCCTACGATACGCGCGCGTCAACCGCTCAATTTTAATCGCCATCGAATTACCGTGCGAAATCGCATCTCACCGAATCGTAACCCTTTCCTTCCAACGATTCTCTCCTACAGCCCGTGTCTTCCGTTCGATTCATTTTTCTTCCGCGACGCGTGAAGCGCATCATCTTGGCGCGTTCTTGAATAGGATAGAGAAAGACGAATTACCGGCAATTACGCGCGAGGTAGAGAAAGAAACGCATCGAGGGAGAAGTGGGGGTGATTAAACACGGCCAGATAAAAGTTATAATCGCGTTTATCGTACGTGCACCCATTAATGAGAGCTTCACGGTCAATTTAACAAGATTTTACGATACCGTGGACTATAGCGCGGGAAACGGTGCGCATATTTTCAGTTAATAAATTAATAGACGTTCCCGCGGATATAAATTTCAACAAGCCGCCTCGTATACACCCGCAG